ATTTAACAAGTGGTGACATGGTTCTCAGCTCCAATACGCATGAATTTTAAGTAAAGCTTGACGTTTGGGAATCCAAAGGTGCTTTTTCAAGAGGCAACTGGACTTTCTTGTTTTTCTTTGAAGATGTTTCACTTCTCATCCAAGAAGCTTCTTCAGCTCTGACTGGATGGTGGGGAATGGAAGGATTTATACTCCTTGCAGACAGCTGGCCATTTGCTTTCTTTTGGAGAGTGGTTGAGGCCACTTGGAAGTTTGTCTGTGTCCTCAGGGTCACCTGAGTGGTGCAAATGGGTGGGGAGCCTTCTTGGAATTGCTGAAAGGATTGCATTGTAAGTTCAAAGAAGGCTCCACACCCATTTGCACCACTCAGGTGACCCTGAGGACACAGACAAACCTCCAGGTGGGCTCAACGACTCTCTAAAAGAAGGGTTGGCACTGATGAAAGGACCGTGTTGTAGACTGGAGATAGATGATGTTGTATCCCTCCCCCTCTGTTGACGGAGGGCTGTGTAGTTTTGACATAGATGGTCTCTTTGACCCCCCTTTCAAACCAGTGGTCCTCTCTACACAGACTTATGACCCAAGCTTGCAGTATCCACACAGTTGCCACAAAGAAGAGGGAGTCAAGCTATTCTCCAAAGTGCCTGATGGCAGGACAAGAAGCAACGGATGGAAACTAATCAAGGAGAGAAGCAACCTAGAACTAAGGAGAAACTTCCTGACAGTGAGAACAATTAACCAGTGGAACAACCTGCCTCCAGAAGCAGTGAATGCTCCAACACTGGAAGTTTTTAAGAAGAGACTGGACAGCCATTTGTCTGAAATGGTAAGATCTCCTGCCTGAGCAGGGGGTTGGACTAGATGACCTCCAATGTCCCTTCCAACGCTATTATTATCATCATTACTATAATTACTATTATATTATTGTTGTTATTTACATCATCAAAATTTGGGGGGGGGGGGTTGGCAAGTGGCATGTATTTGTGATGATTGCACCATCCCTGGGGTCATGTGATCACCATTTGTGATCTTCCCAGCTGGCTTCCAATAAGCAGTCAATGGGGGAAGCTGGATTCATTTAACGAACGCGTGATTCACTTAGCCATTGCAGCGATTCACTTAACAACCATGGTAAGAAAGCTAGTAATTACAGCACAACACGCTTAACAACTGCCTTACTTAGCAACAGAAATACTGATCCCAATTGTGATTTTACGTCCAGGACTCCCTGCAATGAACGTTCTATTAGTACTGTATTGAAATTGAATATCTAGTGCCACCTGGTGGTCAAGAGTTGTCATGACTTGCTATTATGCCTTAAAGCAGTGGTTCTCAACCTGTGGGTCGGGACCCCATTTGGGGTCGATCGACCATTTCATGGGGGTCGCCAAGCAAGGCTGTCCGCCATTTTTTTTGTCCGCCATTTTCCCCCTTTTCCGGCGGGTGCCTTACCTCCCTTGGGCTGGGCCAGCTGGTGGTCGGCCTGCTCCGTCTCTGCCGCTTGCCAGCTACACCTCGGCCGGCGCAAGGGGCGGAACCACGCATGCGTGGCGCTCCCGGGCAGGGAAAGTCCTTGCCTTACGACCGGTTGGGTAGTCCTCGACTTACGACCGGTTTAGTCCTCGACTTACGGCCGGTTTAGTCCTCGACTTACGACCAGTTTAGTCCTCGACTTACGACCGGTTGGGGTCGCGGCATTAAAAAGGTTGAGAACCACTGCCTTAAAGGTAGTGCTCGACTTAAGAACCACAATTCAGCCCAACATTTCTGTTGCTAAGCAAGACAGTTAAGTGGGTTTTGACCCATTTTACGCCCCTTCTTGCTAGAGTTAAGCAAATCATTGCGGTGCTGAAGTGAACCATGTGGTCATTAAGCAAATTGGCTTCCCCCATTGACTTTGCTGGTCAGAAGGCTGCAAAAGGAGACCACATGATTCTGGGACACTGCATCCGTCATAAGTACATGCCAGTTGCCAAGCGTCCGAATTTTGGTCACGTGACCATGGGGATGCTGCAACGGTCCTAAGTGTGAATATCGGTCCCAAGTCACTTTTTTTCAGTGGTGTTGTAATTTCAAACGGTCACTAAATAAAAGGTTGTAAGCCGAAGACTACCTATCTCTCTCTTGACAGCCTAGGCCAGGGGTAGGCAACCTTGGCTCTTTTATGACTTGTGGACTTCAACTCCCAGAATTCCTGAGCCAGCCATGCTGAGGAGAAAGGGAGAGGTTTCCATGCTGAGCCATGCCAGCTCAGGAATTCCGGGAGTTGAAGTCCACGAGTCACAAAAGAGCCACGGTTGTCTACCCCTGGCCTAGGCACCC